CTTCTCACAAAGCACAGAAAATGCAGCTGTATCCCAACAAGGTCCAAATTGCATCAGAATCGCATTGGAGCCAAATCAATTCGCACTGCAACTGTCCCTTGCAATTGCACTAAAAAAATTGCACTGCATCAGTGTGAATCTAGGCTGTTTTCATGCTAATGTTCAATGCAAATACATGTTCAGAACGTGTAAATATTTTAACATGCATGATCTGGTCACAGGTTCATTGTTAATGCTAGTCAGGTGATGGCAGCTTTATTTTTAGGAGAAAAATCCCATACAATAACCATGTGAACTGCCGTTCACATACTGAATATTGCAAACATCATAATATATATGGGCAGCACAGTGGCTAAATGGTTAGCACTTCCACCTGGCAGCACTAGGGTCGTTGGTTCGAATCCCAACCACAGCACCACCTGCCTGGAGTTTGCATGTTCTCCCTGTGTCTGCGTGGGTTTCCTCCAGATACTCTGGTTTCCTCCCACACTCCAAAGACATGTTGTTAGGTTAATTGGATCCTGTCTAAATTGGCCCTGGTATGTGTATGTATGAATGTGAGTTAGGGACCTTAGATTGTACACCCCTTGAGGGTTAGGGACTGATGTTAATGTACAATATATATATGTAAAGCGCTGCATAAATTGACAGCACTATACAAGCACCTAAAATAAATAAATATAAGTTACATCCTATAAATTCAGCAGATCTATGCAGAAACAATATAAATAAAAAAAATAGCAATTAGTGCATGGAAATAAAAATATGCATAATAAGCAACTGATCATTGCTGTGTAGCTCAGAAATTAGAATCAGGTGCTGGAGGCAGAAGCATGCAGGATGGCTCTGCTTACTTTATAACTGATGTGCAACAGATGGATAACTGGTACCATCAATCATTTGTTTGTCTGTGTATGAACTGTATGTCTTCTTCATATTTACATCTTAAACCGTGCTTTTACCAGGGATTGTGAAGTGTCCTCAGTGACAATGGTGTATGTTATAACAATAGGATACAATAAGGCTCCTTTCACACTAACAGCAGAGTTTAACAACCCCCCTTCCAGAAAAGCAATCCATGGGGATCAGTGAAAGGAGGTTAGCAGGCAATACTGCCAGCTTCTAATGCCTGTTTTTTTGTTTGTTTGTTTTTTTTATTGCCAAATGGCAATTTTGCATCTCAGGACTGCTCAGTCCCATTCACCTACATAGGAGAGAGGTGACACTGCTCGGCATGTCATGTTAAAATTGTGGCACCACAATGCAAAACATTGCGACCACAGCATGTGAACTTACCCATTTCTGCTTGTAGGTTGATAGTCAGGGGGCACATTATTGTAGCAAGCTTTTATTTTTTTTTAATGCTGTAACATGGCACGGTAATAATATCCTATAATCTAAGACTGCAGCAGTGATATAACTCAGCCATTCATCAAATATTAAAAAAACAATCACATAACACTGCGCTACCTTGAGGTTATCTGCAGTAAGCATTTACAGATAACTAATGACAGGTTTAGGAGGTAACATTGACAGTACATGCTGTGCATTCTGCTTCCAACTGCAGCACAGTGATTGGATTTCACTGTGTCCTCTCTCTGTGCTAGATTGCTAAAGTCCAGACTAATTAAAAAAATACATACCCTAAATTTGCTTTTGTGTCCCTGTGCAATGTCTTTCATAAGAGGAGCCACTGTAAGGAGTCATATTTATTTTTGAGTAAATGTTGGCATAACAATTCAAAGTTTAAAGGTAGCATCCTCCTAGGTAGGTTGCTAGGATGATAGGTAAACTTAGTTCTATTTGACTCTGTAATCACTGCTATCGATTCCTTTGTGCTGTTATAGATTTCACAGCCTTCAGATTTTATTTGCTCCACCTGCATTTTGGAGGCTTCCAGAACTTAGGAGGTTGAGAAAGGCTAATTGGCAGCTTTAATATTTGGTGTGCTTCAGCCAAACCCTGGTGTGTTTGCCCAGTAGGTGTCTAGGCAGAACATAAATAGTCTGCAGTCTGGAGCAGCCCTGTTCTTGTCCTGCTGGAGAAGTTCCCAGCTTTTATGTAGTGGCCAACAACCACTGGAGACATGCATCCAGTATCAAAGGAGTGAGGGGGAAGTATACCTGTAGCAGGACTGAATACTTTACAATGCACAAAGGTGAACCTGCTGCTTTGCCCTGCATGGGTAAATCACATTAAAGCTACCTCTAGCAAGTCAGATAAAATAAGAACTGCAATATATGTATATGAACCTACCAAAAGATTTTTAATTTGCCTCATTTAATATAATGATGCAACTGTGCTTAAATGTGTAGAGTCAAACATTTTAAGTGTGTGGTATGTCCATATAGTTCTGCACAATTTTCTGTCTATACTTAAGACATACGATTACACTTTTTGTGTTTGGGAGGTTACCTTACAGCCTGTAAACTGCAATGCGTTTATGCTAGTATTACAAAAAATATATTGCAATCAAATGGTAGAAAATATTGTAATGTGTGTGATCAATTTCAGCACAAACAATGTTAAACGCATAGCTTTCATATCAAACCACCTACATAATTAGAAAAAACTATCCAAGCAATATTGATATAGCACAGGCCCTGAATGTTGACTCTGAATGAGTTAAAAAAATATGACTCTTTTCAGGGATAAGAGCTTTTACAGGCCATAGAATGGAAAAAAGACACATTACTAAGTGGTCATGTGGCTAGTGCCATTCATCTTAGAAGTGACTGACTATCTGTCAAAAGTGGCAAGAGTCCCTGTTAACAGCCCTGACCTGTGCTGTAATAAAGGGAAAGAGCAAAGCAAAGTGTCCATTATCTAGCAGTTGGGAGCAGAAAATTGGTGCAGTTTGCCTCAATCTTCCTACAAGTTAAGATTTTAGATAGGTGGGGATCAGCAAGAAGCAATTTTATCCTATGATCATTTTTGTCAGATCACATCAAACTAAGGGCATAGTTACATTCAAGATTTCAATTAAGATGTCCTAACCACAGTGACCAGTAACAAGAAAGCACATCTGTGTCTTTATTGTATTGACATCTGTACATTCTTGAAGGATACATGATTACACTGGGGTCTGGCAGGCAAGCTATGTAAAATAATTTACTCACTATATTCTGCAAGTGTGTCGAGATTAATAGTGACCAGAATCTTATGAGTGTAATGTGGATGCAATGGGTGCCTATATTTATAATGATAAAATCACTTCAATCAAAATTTGTACCACCAGAATAATTAGTTTATGAGCAAGTTGTCTTATTTAGTTTTTTTTTAAGCATATCTGACATCACAGAGATAGATAGATAGATAGATAGATAGATAGATAGATAGATAGATAGATAGATAGATAGATAGATAGATAGATAGAGAGATAGATAGATAGATAGATAGATAGATAGATAGATAGATAGATAGATAGATAGATAGATAGATAGATAGATAGATATCCCAAATATATAACCGTGTATATCACAGATGCATGTACATATGTATATTAGTATGAGTAGTTTAAAGTAACCCAGGCAGAAATATAGAAATCCGAACTCCCGTAAAGACTTTACCTCTCCTGACACCTACACCACTCTGATCTAGAAAAATCACCAACTGAAGCCTGTGCAGAAATCAACACTTTTGAGAGGGGCTGTAGAAATCAATACTAGGATCATGACTGCATCCATCCATGATCCTTTTATGACCACTTCCTTATATATATATTCATATGCTGGACAGGAAGCGATTAATGCTGTTGTGTAATAAAATATATTTTCACATACAGCTCACAGCAGATGACCTATCAGTGTTAAACTGACAATTGGGCCATATTTGCAACACATTCGTTCCACATTCATGCCATGACCAGCTTGCTGTGAGTTAACTGCTGTGGTCAAGGACCTTAAAGAATGTGTAGCTTTTAAGTGTGCAGCCCATGCAAACATAAAATCGAGTCTAGTCACAAATGTTCAAATACCCATACATTAAAGATCTATCTGTACAGTTCAAATAAAGTTGATCTGTTAACATTATTTTATTTACCAATGGACCTGTTCGAGAGTACCATTTGATATGATAGATAGAACAATAAACATACAGTAAATACGCATTTTGGTTTAACTGCTAGTCATTCCGCTGTCAGTCACTTTTCAGCTCCAAGAGTGAATTATGCTGTGACACTCCTTCCTAATTTCTTTCTTTATGCAAAACACATAGGATGTTCTGGAGTAGTTTTCAGTGTCAAGATATGCGCACTCACTTTTTGATGAGGAACTCTTTCAGCGCTGATAGCTCTGGCATTAGAGAAGGTGATTATCCTTATCAGAAGGGGTTAAGACAGTTTTAGGGATTAGGTCAGGGGCTAGGCGTGTTTTAGAGGTTAAGTGTCACTTTAACATAAAAGAAAAACTGCTGACAGGTATGAAGAGGTACCTGTAGTGTACATACCTGCAGCAACTTCAATTGCCCCTGCTCTGCCTTTGCTCTGCTTTGCCAGGACATTTTGACACTTTCTAGTAGAAGTCGTTTTTGTCCCTTTGCTCCTTCACCCATACATACCTATTGACCCATGCCTATGATGGTCTGCCTCTCTGACCAATAGGAATGTGTTTGAAAGTTCAGGCCAGCTTTGGGACTGCCAGGAGGTGCTAAGCATTGCCCAATTAGAACTGTCTGGTATTTGGGCAAAGCATGGTCATTAAATGCTGTTGACACTTCTTGGTAGCTTTCCTGTTTCCTCTTGCCTACATACATACCTGTTGGGATGTCACCCCCTATGGGTACCTTGAGAGTACTACTAGCCATGACATTCACCACTGACTTTCTTCAGTGTGGGTTGGAGTCGCCCTTGGCTATAGGCCATACTGTTCTTCAGGGCCCCACACACAACCAAAAATGTATTATATACACTATATTGCCAAAATAATTGGGACACCCCTCCAAATCATTGGATACAGGTGTTCCAATCACCTCCATGGTCACAGGTGTATAAAATCAAGCACCAAGGCATGCAGACTGCTTCTACAAACATTTGTGAAAGAATGGGTCGCTCTCAGGAGCTCAGTGACCTCAAGCGTGGTACCGTCATAGGTTGCCACCTGTGCAATAAGTCCATCTGTGAAATTTCCTTGGAAGCAACTGGGAACAACAGCAACTCAGCCACAAAGTAATACGCAATGTAAGCAATGTACAATGACAGAGTGGGGTCAGCGCATGCTGAAGCACACAATGCATAGAAATCGCCAAATGTCTGCAGAGTCAATAGCCTGAGACCTCCAAACTTCATGTAGGCCTTCAGATTAGCACAACAATAGTGAGTATAGCTTCATGGAATGGGTTTCCATGACCGAGCAGCTGCATCCAAGCCTTACGTCACCAAGTGCAATGCAAAGTGTCATATGAAGTGGTGTAAAGCACGCTGCCACTGGACTCTAGAGCAGTGGAGACGTGTTCTCTGGAGTGACGAATCACGTTAATCTGTCTGGCAATCTGATGGACGTGTCTGAGTTTGGCAGTTGCCACTGCAATAGCCTGAGACCTCCAAACTTCATGAGGCCTTCAGATTAGCACAACAATAGTGAGTAGAGCTTCATGGAATGGGTTTCCATGACCGAGCAGCTGCATCCAAGCCTTACGTCACCAAGTGCAATGCAAAGTGTCATATGAAGTGGTGTAAAGCACGCTGCCACTGGACTCTAGAGCAGTGGAGACGTGTTCTCTGGAGTGACGAATCACGTTAATCTGTCTGGCAATCTGATGGACGTGTCTGAGTTTGGCAGTTGCCAGGAGAATGGTACTTGCCTAACTGCATTTTGCCAAGTGTACAGTTTGGTGGAGGGGGGATTATGGTGTGGGGTTGTTTTTCAGGGGTTGGGCTTGGCCTCTTAGTTCCAGTGAAGGGAACTCTTAAGGCGTCAGCATACCAAGACATTTTGGACAATTTCATGCTCCCAACTATGTGGGAACAGTTTAGGGATAGCCCCTTCCTGTTCCAACATGGCTGCGCACAAGTGCACAAAGCAAGGTCCATAAAGACATAGATGAGAGAGTTTTGGGCAGAGGAACTTGACTGGCCTGCACAGAGGCCTGACCTCAACCCGATAGAACACCTTTGGGATGACTTAGGGTGGAGACTGCGAGCCAGGTCTTCTCGTCTGACATCAGTACCTGACCTCACAAATGTGCTTCTTAAAAATGGTCAAACATTCCCATAGACACACTCCTAAACCTTGTGGACAGCCCTCCCAGAAGAGTTGAAGCTGTTATAGCTGCAAAGGGTGGGCCAACTCAATATTGAACCCTACAGACTAAGACTGGGATGCCATTAAAGTTCCTGTGTGTGTAAAGGCAGGCTTCCCAAAAGTATGGCAATATAGTGCATGTATTATATTGCAGCTTACCAATCATTCAATGTGATGGCTGCATCAGTTTTCTTTTCTTTGTTTTTTTTTTCCTTTGTTTCCACCTGGTGATCTGGCCAGTAACAAACCTCCTGTATTTGTAAGATACCGCTTTGGAGGAATGAGCCAGGACACAGCAGACAAGAGCATTGTCAATCTGGGGGAGAGGGGACTGTTAAAATGTTACTAACCCCACAACAGTAAAATCAGTCTGTATATGCAGTAAAACATGCTTGTTATACTTACTGTGGAACCTAAGGGGTTATTCCTCTGCATTGTGTAAAAAGAATGTTTGATCCTGTTTTCTCTGATCCTCCCCTTCTTCTACTGTCCCCAATCTATCTGCTGATAGAATAGAGCCTTGGGGCAAGTCGCACATGCTCAGTTTGGTGTGTATTGCTAGAGAGTTTTTCTTTTTGTGGGGAGAGTGCATGTAATCAGCACAAGGCCAATCAACGCTGTCCAGAGGGTCAGGGGTCCTGCAGCTCATAGGACAATCGGGAGAATGAAAACTCCACCTACAAGCTTTAACCAGTGCTCTGCTGGACACTGATAGAAGTCACGAGACTGCTCTAACTGCTGATGAGAAAAGGTATTTAGCAATTTATTTTTATGCAGTGAATGCAGGGACATGGGTTTTATTAACACTTTAAATGTATTAGAAGATTTAAATACAAATAACAAATTGAAGCTAAACCCCAGATCACACTTTATAATCAGTTACAGCCAGGTCTGGACTGGCCATAGGGCACACTGGGTATTTGCCCGGAGGGCCCAGGGCTGCCTGGATTGAACGGGTGGCAGGGATGGCATATAGAGGATCCATCCATTTCCCTCCTGAATGCTCACTTCCCCTCTTTTCCCTCCTGCAGGCATTCAGCAGCTTCAGGAGAGGAATGGACGGATTGAATCCTCCGACGCCCCTCTTATCCATTTTTTTTCTGTTGCCCCCCAGGCCCATGTCATCTTTCCTGGTCCCCCTGTGCTCTCATTGGGTACCTGTTTGCTCTCTCCTGGCCCCCTCCTCCTCCCTCAGGATCTGTCAGGATGGAGAGTGGGCAAAGGGCCAGTAAATATGTAATTTACCGGTCACTTCCTTGTCTGAATGGACAGACAGGGATTGGTACCAATCTAAAGAGCAGGGAACAATACTTGTGTACAGCAGCCTGTCAGACTACTTGTACACTCAGAGACTGCAGTGCCAGCCAGCCCTAGTGTCTTTGATCACAGCCCCAGTGTCCCTGATCATAGCCCCAGTGTCCCTGATCATAGCCCCAGTGTCACTGATCACTGCCTCATTATAACCACAGTACAAAATGCAGCCAGTACCTGTTACCTGTCCCAGTGCTCACAAAAACACTACCATACACCATACCAATGTCCAAATCACCACCATACTGGTATCATGATTACCGATGTATGCCATACCAGTGTGCTGATCACCACCATATGCCATACCAGCACCATGATCACCACCATATGCCATACCAGCACCATGATCACCGCCATACACCATACCACAGCCCAGATCTCCACCATGCCTGATACCAGCATCCTGATCACTGCCATACCCTATACCAGCGTTCTGTTCACCCCATATGCCAAAACAGCATCCTGATCTCTGCCATAGCTCATACCAGCATTATGATTACCCCATATGCCATACCAGCACTCTGATCACTACCATAGCCCCATAATAGGGTCCTGATCACCGCCATACCCAACACCAGCATTCTGATTCCCCTGTATTGCATATCAGTGTCTGGATCGCCACCATATACCATGCCAATGTCCTGACCACACCACACCCCATACCAACGTCCTGATCACTGCCATATGTCATACCAATATCCGGCATTTTATGGTCTCAACTGATCAATTTTCAGATATACAGTAATGGCCAAAAAATATTGACACCCCTTAATTTCTGTCAGATAATTCACCACTTCACCCAGAAAATTGTTGCAATTACAAATGCTTAGGCATTCTCAAGCCAAATCTGATATGTTCCATGCAAAACCCCAAAAATGGACTGGACAAAATTATTGGCACCCTCAATACAGTTTTTGGTAGTACACCTGTTGGAAAAAATAACTAAAATCAATAGCTTCCTGTAACCATCAATAAACTTCTTACACAGCTCTACTAGAATTTTGGACCACTCTTCTTTCTCCAACTGCTCCTGTTCTTTCAGATTGGAAGGGTTCCTTTTCCCTACTGCTGTTTTGAGATCTCTCCACAGGTGCTCTATGGGATTGACAGCTAGTCTCATTGCTGGTCAGTTCAGTACTCTCCAGTGCTTTCTCTGAAAGCATTTCTGGGTGTTTTTGACGTGTGCTTTGGGTCATTGTCCTGCTGTATGACTCATGACCTCTGACGGAAACCCAGCTTTCTGACACAGGGCCCTACATTGCACCCCAGAATTCTTTGGTAGTCTTCAGATTTCATAATGCCATGCACACGGTCAAAACATCCACTACCTGTAGCAGCAAAACAACCCCAAAACATCAGTGAACCTCCACCATGTTTGACTGTAGGGACTGTATTCTTTTCATTAAAGGCTACATTTCCTTTTCTGAAAACAGTAGGATGATGAGCATTACCAAAAAGCTGTAATTTAGTTTTGTCTGTCCACAGCACATTCTTCCAAAAGGATTTTGATTTCCTCAGGTACATTTTGGCAAACTCCAATCTGACTATTTTTATGTTTCTGTGTCAGCAGTGGGGTCCTCTTGGGTCTCCTGCCATGGCTCCCTTTTCATTCAGGTTGTGACATTTAGTGTGAGCTGACACAGTTGTATTCTGTGTCTGAAGTTCATCTTGAATTTGTCTGGAAGTTGATCGAGGTTCTTTATCCAACATTCGAACATTCCTTTGTTGCAATCTTTGATCAAGTTTTTCTCTTTCATCCACATCCAGGTAGATTAGCTACAGTGCCGTGGGCTGTAAACTTCTTGACAATGTTGTGCACAGTGGACACAGAAACATTAAGATATGTTAATTGATACAGGGGAGTTTATTTACAATATTACAGGAGCATCACAAACTTGTAATGGAGAAGGTGCCAATAATTTTGTCCAGTCCATTTTTGGGGTTTTGTGTGGAATGTGTCAGATGTGGCTTTTTGCTTCTTCACTTTTTTATAGCATACCAATACAAACAAAATAAACACAAGAATGCCTAAACATTTGTAATTGCAACAATTTTCTGGGAGTGGTGGTATTATCTGACAGAAATGCAGGGGTGCCAATATTTTTGGCCATGACTGTATATCCCATAGTTTGTAGACTCTATAGCTTTCACACAGACTATATAATATACACTATTTTTGGTTATTTTTAAATGTAGCAGAATTTATTTTGGTCTAAATTTATGAAGAAAATTATTTATTTGCAAAATTTAATAACAAAAATTAAGCAATAAATGATATTTTTTTTTCAAAATGTTCGGTATTTTTTTATTTATATAGCAAAAATTAAACTCCATGGTGATCAAATACCAGCAAAAGAAAGCTCTATTTGTGTGAAGAAATGATGAAAATTTTGTTTGGGTACAGTGTTGCGTGACCGAGTAACTTTCACTTAGTCATCAGTGCCCTGATGATCGGTGCCCAGCAGTGCCACCCAACAGTTCCACCCACCTGTGCCCAGCAGTGTCGCCCACCAGTGCCCAGCAGTGCCACCCACCTGTGTCACCCACCTGTGCCCATCAGTGCCACCCACCTGTGCCTATCAGTGCCACCCACCTGTGCCACCCACCTGTGCCCATCAGTGCCACCCACCTGTGCCCATCAGTGCCACCCACCTGTGCCCATCAGTGCCACCCATCAATGCCACTCATCAGTGCAGCCCAGCAGTGCTGCCAGCAGTGCCCCGCAGTTGTGCCAGTCAGTGCCCCGCAGTTGTGCCAGTCAGTGCCCAGCAGTTGCACCAGTCAGTGCCCAGCAGTGCCACCAGTCAATGCCGCCTATCACTGCTGACTATCAGTACCCATCATCAGTGCCCTCTATCAGTTCCACCTATCAGTGCCCTTCAGTGCTGCCTATCAGTGCTGCCTATCAGTGCAGCCTCATCAATGCACATCAGTAAAGGAGAAAAATTACCTGTTTGCAAAATGTTATAATAGAAACAAGAGGAACCTTTTTTTTTCCACATTTTTTGCTATTTTTTTGTTTAAAGCGCAAAAAATAAAACCCCCAGCGGCAAGTAAATACCACCAAAAGAAAGCTCTATTTGTGAGAAAATAATGATAAAATTTTCATATGGGTACAATGTTGCATGACCACGCAATTGTCATTCAAAGTGCGACAGTGCTGAAAGCTGAAAATTGGCCTGGTAAGGAAGGGGGTATAAGTGCCCTGGTAGGCAAGGTGTTAAAGGTACACATCATATTAAGCAGTTCCCGTCTGCCTACAGTACATTTACTGTAGTTGGGCAGCACAGGTACATGTACGTCACCCAGCCTGTACCAGGTTTCCCTGCTGACACCCGCTGTCACTGGCTACAGTGCGATCTTGTCAGTGGGTCCCAGCCTAAGATTTATGGCTAAGGCCTGCTGATTGGCTGTAGCCAATCACAGCATAGAATCCTTTGTCTGCAAACACACTCTGTACACAGATCAGAGTTCTGGTTGTTTCTTTTCCCTGCAAAGCAGGGAGAAAAACCAGCCAAATCTGTAAAAGCAGTGCATATTACACACATTACACTTGTTAGGCACAGAGTTAACCCCTTGTTATCCCCTTGATGTTAACCCCTTCCCAGCCAGTGTAATTAGTACAGTGCCAGTGTACAGTATTATAGTATATCACTACTGATGTCAGTGTCAGGGATCTCTCCCTCATGCTGGCGTGCGTTGGCGCTGGATTCCTTCTAGCCGCAGCGGTGCGAGTGCGCATGTGCGGGAATGTGTGGGTGCGCATGCGCAGGAGCGTGCGAGTGGGCACTAGCGTACACGTCACCGCGAGGCGGGCTATTTAAACCACCAGCACAGTTTGGCCTATGCCTTCTGGTCTATAACGTTCTGCACTTCATAACTTGATTCTGTTGTCTGTATCTGATCTGACTCTGGCTAAGAAAGAACTCCGCCTGCACCGACCCGGCTTATCCCTGACTATCCGCTTGCCTGCTCCCTTGTACCTGATTCGCTCGATTGATCCTGACCCGGCTTGTCTGACACTGCTGCACATACATACCTGTATCTACACCTGGCCTGTACCCTGGTTGCCGCCATACTTACCTGCTGCTGCACCTACGTTCCTGCACCTGGCCTGCACCCTGGTTACCGCCATACCTGCCTGTTGCTGCACCTATGCTCCTGTGTCCACTCATGGTCTGCATCCTGGTTGCCGCCATACCTGCCTGCTGCTGCACCCACGTTCCTGCATCTGCACCTGGCCTGCATCTGGATCTTCTGGTCTTCACCTGCCTACCATCAGTTCCAGACCCACACGGCACTCGTGCAACTCCTGGCTCAACGCCCTCTGTTCCCACTATCAGGGGATCCATGCTGGAGTAGTAAGAGGACGCCTCCTCTCCACGTCAGGCTCCCCAACCAGGTACGTGACAGTTAGTCAGTTAGTGTACCTCCCGGCGAGGCTTTGTTAGTGCCAGATTGTCAGTCACACTATGATAGTCCCACTATAAGACTAGAGACTTTAGGTCTCTGATCACCACCATTACCAGTATTTATATCATTGTTTGTACGCGCGATAACTTTCACTCCAGTATACCGTCCATTCAGAGCGCAGTAAGCATGCGTCGGTGACATCACCTGCCTCTACAAATGTGAATATCTCCTAAACAGTACATGTTTAGGATATATTCACTGTGCCTACAGGTAAATCTTATTATTGTTGGTACAATTCATAAAGTGGATTTTACTGCCGCTTTAACCAATTTTTCTAACGCTTCTCATTTTGTTGCTTAATAGGACTTTCTCTTTAAGGTATACATTGATTCATAAGATTTATTTAGATTAATTTGCAAAATCAAAATGTTTCCACACTGTAGAAATTATTACTGTGGACAATATAAACTACAGTATAAGAAAAAAAAGACAATCCCACATTGATTTTGCCATTAGTGCCTCACACATGAAGGCAGCCCACAACATATAATAAGATTCCTCCTTTTTTTGTATAGTCATGGCAAATACTATATTATCCATATCTTTATGTTATCTTTGGGTATACATTATGTATTCAAATTATTAGGTCACCTTAAAGACATTTTTCCAAACTAAGAATGTAAAAAACTATAGCTCATATTCAAGATACAACTTAAAAGTGATTTAACAGAGGCAATAATTTATATCATCATGCATTCTATCTCTTTTTTTGTACATGCTAAGATTTTATTTGCTTTTACAGCTGCAGCTTGGCACTGAGGTCTACCATTTAGTAATGTTTCCTTGTATGCCCAATTCCTTTTCTAACTCTGTTTATGCAAACTTTGTTGCACTAAAAGTATATCTGTCATGAAATTATTATCTATGCTGCCATTTCTGACCTTTTTAATGAAAATAATAGTTATCTGGTTGTCATGCTACTGTTTTTTTTTACAATTCTCTTAAGGTCACTGACCCAGAACAGATATAGAGGTAAGGAATATTGACTCTTTTCTATAATTTTTTTATTAGGTTTTGGATAGAGAGGGCAGGGCTAAAATGCAAATAGAAAGATTGACAGTTGTCACATGATCAGGTGTCTGCACTAGTACATTTTTTCCTGTTCTTGTGATGACCATCACTTTCTATCCTGGAGACAATGGTCATCAGGAGAAATAAAGAGAGTGAATTTCCAAAACCAAGACACAGACTTCAACAAAAACCTATCTGAGGTTCTAACAATTTCTCACTATCCAAAGCTAAAAAAAAAGGGCTATTAATATGCAGGCAGTTCTATTAATAGTTAATACCGTGCATAACTTTAATATTATTTAACTGCCCGTACTAGCATTTTGTCAAAATCCTTCTTCTTTAATATGTCATATCCTGCTGAATTTTAATCTTTCAACATCATTCATTATGATTTACACAAAATGAGTTTTGACATCTCTATGAGTGAGGTTTGAACAACAGAAAAGGAAATTAATCAGTTATCAAAGCATGTTAACTGATACTTGTTCTCATGAAAACAAAGGTACTGGAGAAACATTTATATTCAAAATGTAAAAATAACACACAAGACAGCATTTAAATCCACTTCTACATCCGTACAATCACTTTTGCAGCCTGGGAGTAGTGTTTTAAGTCAATAAGGTGGTAATAGAAGCTGATTCCATTGGTATATTTCAACCATGAAAGGGCAGTCTAGATCCAGGAGGATGATGGCAGGTGGCAACACACAATGTCCATTTACTCCAAAACAGTTTGGAAGGGAAAATTAATGCTATTTGTTGATTTGGGTTTCTTAGTTGACCAAAAATGAAGTTTTTTTTTTTCAAACAATTCTGTAAGGTGTATTTTAAATTTCAGATAAAAGGGTACTTTTAAATATTAGGGTAGCCTGGTGCAATATAGCTATGCCTGGGTAAGTGAAATTATGTTCCTGTGTAGGAATTAAGTGAAGAGAAAACACCCCTTGCAGAAATTGAAGGGTTCATTGAAGATAAACAGGAGTCAGCTAGTGGGCTGACGCATTTCACTTTCAAGAATGTTCAATCATATGGCTTGCATTGTGCGAGACAACAGTAAAGCACAACCATTTTCTAGAACTTGTGATGATGCTAGGTCCTGCCAAAGTGAAAATAGGGGTACACAGGGTTCTCACGGATGCAGAGTCAGAGGCAACAGAAGATTTGTTCAGAGCCGAGGAAAACTGTTTTTTTGGTTTTCTGTGGGTTTTGTTACTCCCGGATCATGCTCTGGAGTTCACAGTGTTTGAAGAGCTTTGGCATGGAAGAAGCCTCTAATCCTGTGTTCTGGTCTTGCGGAAGACCAGCAGGGTGTATATGTAGGTGTATAATCAAATGCCTGATGGCAGGCCAGGGCTCCATCCTCCCCAGCAGGTCCATGAGGCTGCAAGGGAGCAGCCAATGCATGCATGTCTGCACAGTGCAGATGAAATCTGTTAGGGAACAGACCGAGGCCCTAAGCCTGAGGGTCAGTGCAGCAGAGAGCTGCAAATGTGCAGAGGTTGTACATAAACACAGGGGTGCTGTGAAGTGGTCTCAGGGACCTATCCAAAGGCCTGTTACAACCTTGGCTGGAGGCCGAGATGACGAGAGTACTTCCCTTGCAGCTCTGGTCTGAGCACTCCTGAAGGTGGTCACAGAGGTACAAGGCTCAAAGAAGCACAGGTGTCAGTAGTTTGGTAGCAGGTGACTGCCACGGACAAAGATGTGATCAGGGTGCACCAGGGTCATACACAGTCAGGTTGCAGACTGAGTTTAGTAGCAGGGAAGCATGCAGAGAGAAGTAAAGTAGCAGGCTGGGGTCAGCACCAGGGACGCAGGAGAGTAGTCGGAGGCAAACCAAGGTCAGTATCCAAAATCCACAGAGCAAGGTCAGGAACTAGCCAGGTCAGTAATGGGAGATCAGTCAGTATAAGCAGGAACACAGGTCACGGGAAAGCTGAAGAACATCCAGCAATTAGCACACACCAGGGTTCCCTCCAAATAGGCAGCTTGGTGCCTATGCACGTGGATGTGCGTGCCTTCGTGTCAGTGCACGCTGGATTATAGCCCGAGCTCATCTGTGCTGGTACATGTACACGAGCATTTGCTGCATGGCAATGAGCATTAGCTGTAGCAATAGCATTAGTATTAGCTGTGCAAATATTCGCCCTCTGAAAATGCCTAACCTTAAAGTGTTACTAAAAACCCACAACAGTAAAATCAGTCTGTATATGCAGTAAAGCATGCTTGTTATACTCACTGTGGAACCTAAGGGGTTAATCCTCTGCATTGTGTAAAAAAGAATGTTTGATCCTGTCTTCTCTGATCCTGCCTCCTGTTCCCCATTTCATCTTCTGATAGAACACAACCTCGGAGGAACTCTGCACATGCTCAATTTGGTGTGTACTGTTAGAGAGGTTTTTCTTTTCTTTGGGAGGGTGATCAGCACACAGCAAATTAGCACTGTCCAGACAGAGGGTCAGGGGTTATGCAATCTCAAAGAGCAGTGAGAGGAGAATGAAAACTCCTCCTACAAGCTTTAACCACTGCTCAGCTGGACACTGCTAGAAGTCACAAGAATTATCTAACTGCTGATGAGAAAAGGTATTTAGCAGTTTATATTTACTAAAATAATTGCATTTCCATGCTGTGTGTACTGTGGGAGACCAGATATAGTGAATGCAGGGCCCTGAGCAGCAGCGCTGCAAAAGAAAGCCAAGAGGTCTTTGTTTGGATTTTGAAGTGATGGAGGAAACCCCTGCTGGGGTAACCTTTCATTTTGCTGAGCTTTACTGTGATTTTTATTAAAAATGGGCCAACTAACCCTGAAACAGTACTTCTGGCATGGATCGAACTTGCTGGGAGAACTGCACTTAAGCAATGCCCCACGCATATTATTATTATTATGCAGTATTTATATAGCGCCAAAAAGTTTGCTCAGCGCTGTACATTATAGTGGGAGACAGTACATGAGACAATACAGTAACAATACAATACATGAGGGGTTCGAGGGCCCTGCTCCTTGGAGGTTACAATCTAAGAAGGAGGGGATAGTGGTACAGGAGGAAATGGCTGTGGGGGATGGAGTGGTAGGAGGAGTGGATGAGATCGGCAGTTAGTTGAGGGCAGGGTAGGCTTCCCTGAAGAGGTGGGTTTTCAGGGTGTGCCTAAAGGTGAGGAGGGTAGGTGACAGTCTGATGGATTTTGGGGTAGTGAGTTTCAGAGGATGGGTGAAGACCTGGGGAAGTCCTGGAGTCGGGCATGGGAGGAGGACACCAGGGAGCTAGAGAGTAGGAGGTCTTGTGAGGAGCAAAGAGTACATGTTGGGTGGTATTTGGATATCAGGTCAGTGAGGTAGTTTGGGGCAGTGTTATGAATAGCTTTGTACGTCCATGTTAGTAGTTTGAATTTTATGCGTTGGGAAATCGGAAGCCAGTGGAGGGAATGACAGAGGGGGGTGGCAGATATGGAGCGGTTGGTAGGTGGATGAGTCTGGCCGCAGAGTTCAGGATAGACTGAAGCGGGGATAGTCTGTGATGAGGTAAGCCGGTGAGGAGGGAGTTGCAGTAGTCGAGTCGTGAGATAATAAGGGAATGAATGAGTTGTGCATATCACACACTACAAAGCAGAAAACAGATCCTGCATATGTATTTTGAAAATATGGCTACCCTCTTGTTCATATATAAATAGAAAGAAACATAAAACAAGGTTTAAAAAAAAAAAAATGATGAGATTATTAACATGAATCTGCTCTTATTTGCATGTACAAAGCTGAAGTGTGGGCAAAAAGCTTTACTGGAATGTTAGCTAGGTGCCAAAGAGGTACGTCTAATGATGTATGCCGCATTAGTGGTTGCTGCTTCTTTATTGAAAAATGTTAGGTAGACTGTACATTATTTGTTTTTTTTTCATTCAACCATGGGGGAATCCCTCCTGCTGATGTATTCTGACAGCATGCAGACTTCCCCACCATCATAATACACTGATCAGCACTGCCGCGCTGATCATGCAGAGATGTTCCAACAGGTTGGTTGTACAGAAGTCAATTGGTAGATAGACTTCTGTACAGCTAGCATGCCCATACATAGATCGAAATGTGTCCAGTCCATGCTGAACTGCCCAAATTTCAATCCATGTATGACCAGCTTTACCTAAATGCTGCCCCTGACAGTGATGTCACGGCTGAAGTTCCAGTTTTGAAGCTCCAGCGATGAAACTGGTTATAGGGGCTGAAGCACAGCAATCACAATGGATCGTGCACTGTGCAGCTCCTCCATTCAGAAAACTTCTTGCATTCTTTTTAATAAATACAAGGAATTCTTTGATTGGAAAAGGTGACATTGTGACTTTCATATGCATCACAGAGAGACAATGAACCAAAATATACCAAAAATTGAAGCATCATTTTTTTTCTAACACAGCAGTTAGTGTAAAGTGTGCATTGTGGGGTGCGCCAGTGCACGTGCATCACAAGTGATTTGTCTAAGGTGTATTGAAAACGCATGGCAACTCAAAAAACTAATGCAGGCATGATGTGTTGATGTTAGCATAACATACCACAACTGTGAATGGGCTCTTAGCGCTTCCACATTCGATATCCCTGAATTGTGCATACATACTTGTTTTATGATTGTAGAAGTGTTTGGAACAAAAAGCTATCATTTTTCTTTGCTGTAAAAGATTATGTAATTTTGCAATTTCTTTTAAGCTCAATGTTCTGTAAATCACAGTATAAACAATTTATGCAGGTGGCACACCACCTGTAAATGCTGATTAAGTGTACATACATTCCCAATAATTTATGTGAAATATTGCCATAGGCAGTTAGTCTCACATCTGTTTCTAGGATTCACTGGTGAAAAAAAAACAACTTATTAACATTTCAATTTTATTTTATTAGAAAATGAACCAATAATTACAGAGCCACACATATACCGACGGGAATGTATATACATCAGCAGTATGGCTATGCAGATGTATCGTATATCACTGTTATTAGTAAAACCTAGGTGTAATGTCACAAATTATAAAGACTGTGCCAGAAACTGCATATTAGCCTTTGTACTCTCAAGAAACCTTGTTATTAATACTATTCCCATAATTATTTATTAATAATTAATTACAGGCCGTTGTGTTTTGACCATTCATTTTCTGATTTTCAATTGCAGCGTCTTTCTGGCTGTTGTATTGCTAGCAAATTGTAGGCAGCGCTGGGAAATCTGCCTTACAAAAGGTGCAAACTGTTTTTCTATGGGAGTCCACAAGGAATTAACACATCTAAAAGCAGCGACATAAGAAAATTACCCAACTCGTGAGCCAGACATTAAGATCATAGTCAGCTGTTGTCAATGTGTAACCGGCAACAACAAACAATTATGTATCTTTGCTTTAATTGTATGTGCCTATTACACACCTGTACTGAAGAGGACCGGCTGCTATTTTCATTACTTGTGGTTTTCTCTATCAAAACAGCATTAGCATTATGGAGCTTGTCAGGTGTTTACTGGTAATAAGAGAAGAGGAAGAGCCGGATGGAGTCAAGGCAAAATCTGTGAAAAAAAAGGATAAATATGTGTAATATGCCTATAAAGTTTGGCTTGTGCTGAAACATAATGTAAAGAGCAATAACACAGAGCAAACAGGCAGAATTCTGCCTTCCTCTGCTTAGAGGGGACCCATGCAGCATAGCTAATCTCTGATTGGCTGTATTTGGTGACTGCACAGATATGCGCACCACATTCTGGAATAAGCCTGATACTATTCAAAGTTTACATACAGTAGTATGCACATAATACCTGCCATGGCAGATGTGTCATCCAAGTGAACCAAAGAGTTTCAGAGGAACAGGCAATACACAATCAGTCTCCTTGGATCTGTTTTATATATAAAAAGTAACAAAAATGTAAGTATTACGCATAACAGCCAATCAGATTACAGCTCTTTTTTTTCTAGAGCAGATTAGATCAGGAAAGCAGAAATGTTCTGCTGTGACAACAGAACAGTTTTTCCTGTTTCACTATTTTCTGAATTCATTTTCATTGTCCATACATGAACAGACTACATACTTTCAGTAAATCACTCTTGTTTCTGAATACATTCATAGATAAGGTGGATGTAAACCATAACTGAATGGCATTTCTTTTGCTAAAGCACTATGCATCATAAACAAGCACCATTTTTTTTTACATTCAGTAAGTTTTATTGTTGTTTTGACAGGTTACAGTCAAAATTTAACCACTTCACGTGTCCCTTTAAGGGGGCTTTAATGTCGGGTCACATGATCAGGAGCCCATCTTGCTGGCTCCCAATCAGTAGCCATGACTGAGAGATGACTAAGACAGCCCGGTCAGTCTGCTGGGCATGCACTCTCTGCGCACAACCCCAACCTTGGATGCATATGTGCAGTGGCTGAGTGTTAAAGCCCACTTTTCCTGCTGCCATATATATGCATTATGAAGTTAGCAAGAGGTTAAAGGCATAACCAATAAATGTACACTTACAATAGGCAGGACAATTAATATGATAGTCCCTGATATTGAGACAAAATATTTGTAAATCAATTTGGGTTTGTTTTGTTTTTGTATTAGAATTTAACAGCATGGGTTTTTTTTTTTTTGTTTGTGTGTTTTGTTTTTTGTTTGTTTGTTTTATTAAAATATTGTTTTCCCATTTTTTTAATTATTTGTCCTATTTCAGTGCTGCAAGTTTTTTGAAGCCACTTTCTGTCCATATGCATGCACTTTAGTGATGGCTGCATGGAATTTCTCTGCGCAGGTTTCCTGATGGTGACAACAGTGGACTATGATTGTATAATATGTGCAGGAATGGCCACTTGTAGTCTTCAATTAATTTGATGCTTATATTACAGGGTGACAACTCATCAACATAAATTAGAGACAGGGACAAAGAATTTTCACCCTATAACAGGAAGTGTCTGAATAAATACCTAAATGGGAGGATCACCAAGTATTATTTTAATGAAAACTGCAAATGTAAAAATATTGAAAAGAAATTTTAAAAGTGAAAGCTCCTTTCTCTCTATCGCTCTCTCTTTCTCTCTGTATATATATATATATATATATATATATATATATACACACATACACACTGTATATATATATATATATATATATATATATATATATATATATATCAGGAGCAGACCGACAACTCATGGGGCCCCCGGGCAATAGGGGATCATGGGGCCCCTGTGTCCTTGCCCAAACTCAAAAAAGCCTATGAAAAAGGTACCAGGGGCATCTCATGGGGCCCCCTACTGGGCAGTGCCCGAGTTTCCAAATGGTCAGTCCGCCCTGATATATATATATATATATATATATATATATATATATATATATACACACACACACACTGTACATTATATATAGTATATACCGTATATAGAGAGAGTGAGACAGAGAGAGAGAGAGACAAAGAG